GCTTCAGACCCTTCTGCCTTGTGTGTTCTGCATCACCAATAGCTTTTTCCATCTTGACCAGACTCTGATATTTTTTGGCTACACGTGTCCTGGTTTTCACTTGTGAAATGTTGGGATTCACCCATGATAGTGTCCCAGCACAAGAATGTTTATCCCTTTCTGTTCTGAAGGCAGAGATATGTTGCCTCATAACTTCTCTCCATGGAGCAAAGCCCAAGTACATAACTTTTAGAGGATCACTTTATGTGTATATATACAGGCTAGATAATGTTTTTCAGCACTTGGCAGCTTGTAAATGTTAGCAGGAATAGGTCTTTTATTTGTGGTGCGGATGTCATGCCTTCAGTAACCTGTACCATTTGTGTGGATGCCATTAAAACGTATATTCCTGCTCTTGGATCCAGCAAGGGCACTCACCATCATGGGTAGAATCATAGAATCATAGGGTTGGAAGAGACCACAAGGGCCATCCAGTCCAAACCTCCTGGCATGCAGGAACTCACAATCAAAGCATCCCCAATAGATGGCTATCAAGCCTCTGTTTAAAGACCTCCAAAACAATTATCCCTCATTTTATGTATGCTTTGGTAATTTGACTTAGGCTGCCATTTTCTTTGGTGTTCCATTGGGAATTGTAGCCATCTGTCTCCTGCTACTTTTGAGGCTGTGGGCCTAAACATACTTAACACAACAAGTGTGGGCACTACTCCAGGTCTGGGGTCTGCACTTCCCTTCTCCACCTGACCTGAAAGGACTATTTCTCCCCCCCCCCTCCGCCACCACCATGTTGTATGTCCCAAATTTACTAGAGAGTAACACAGTTACTTTGAGATTGGGGGGATAGTTAAGAGTCAAGTCACTATTGTAAATGTGTCTGCTGGTTCCTCTAAAAAGTATTGTCATGAGATCATATTACATTTCTATTGGTATTTGTTCTGAGAGGAACAGAAACATATAAAAAGCCCTGCAAGATTAGACAAAGGGCCTGTCTTGTCCAGCAGTTTTTTCCCCAGTGGTGGCCAACCAGAACCAGGTCCCAAGCAGGACAGGAGGTTGCTCATTCCCATGAATTACTCATCCCTTCAACCATCCCCTAACAAAGTGTGTGATGTGTTTGGTTTGCAGAGTAGACAGTCTGGGAAAGGGATTGTCTGATAAATCATCTTTTTCTGCATATTTTGGTGAACCTCTTTCCTCATTTGTACAAGTTTGTACAAATATATTTCACGCATTAATAGCATAGAATCATGGAGTTGGAAGAGACACCAAGGGTCATGCAGTCCAACCCCATTCTGCCATGCGGGAACTCACAACCAAAGCACCCCTGACAGATAGCCATCCAGCCTAGATAGCAAGGGCTGACTGTACATTAATGGTCCCTGGCATATTGTTGTTGTTGTATACCTTCAAGTTGTTTCCAACTTATTGTGACCCTAAGGCAAACCTATCATGGGGTTTTCTGGGGCTGAGAGTGTGTGACTCGCCTAGGGTTGTCCAGTGGGTTTCCACAGCTGAGTGGGGAATTGAACCCTGGTCTCTAGAGTTGTAGTCTAATGCTCAAACCACATTGGCACTCATACCTGTACTTGCCTTTTTCTAATATTCATACTGAATATATTTTAGGTATTTTTTAAAAAAAAACAAAACAGATGGACATGCTAACAAACAACTGCATGAACAACATCTTGATAAAATGTAGCCCTGTGTGATTATCTCCTGTATGATTCTTTTAACATCTTTTCTGATGAAGAAGGCAAGGGAGCTTCAAAAGCTTGTGACATGTATATTTTGTTTATTTTGGTTGTTCCCATTAGGGTATAACTGTTTTGTGGATTTTGGATGTTATTGGTTCATGTTGCCTAAAGACTGGTTGTGTTTGAAATGTATACTATCTGGTCAAAGTGACTGCTGAAGGAAACCATATTTGACTGGGAGGCAGGATTCCCTAAACTAGACCAACAGGAGCCAGCACGGTGTAGTGGTTTGAGTGCTGGACTCTGGAGACCAGGGTTTGATTCCCCGCCTGGTTTTATAAAACCCGTGGGTGACCTTGTCCAAGTCACACACTCTCAGCCTCAGGAGAAAGCAATGGCAAACACCTTGTGAAGAAACCACCAAAGAAAACCTCACTCTTGGGCCGCCATAAGTCAGAAACGACCCGAAGGCACTCAACCACCACCATGAAAACCCACTAGGTGACCTTGAGCAAGCCACATTCTCTCAGCCTCAGGGGAAGGCAATGGCAAACCCTTTCTGAAGAAACTGGCCAAGAAAACCCCATGATAGGGTCCCCTTAGGGCCGCCACGAAACGACCTGGAGACACCAACAATAACAATGTATTAATATTGTTTTATTTATTTATTGTTTCGTTTTCTCCCAACGTAGGGACTCAAGGAGGCCAACAACAACAGGGCTCATAGTTTTACACATGAACTTGACCGTCGCCGTGGAGCCTAAAGCAGCTCAAGCCGTGCTCGATTTAATGGGAGGCCGGATTTCTCCTCAGCTTAGCCATGACCTGAGGAGAAGAGAGGAGGAAGGAGGCCTCAGCGCCGCCTCAGGCCTAGTCCCTTTGAGGCGCTGGAGGGCTGCGTAGGCCTAGGAAACAATGGGGCTGAGGGACTGTGTGGCATTAAGCGAGAGAGGAGGCCTTGGGTCTCCTCAGCGTCGCTCTTTTAACGCGGCCTTCTTCCCTCCTTCCAAGGGGGCGGAGGGCGGGCAACGCCCCTTTAAGGCCCCGGTGGTGTCGAGGCCGGGCTTCCCGGCTCCCTCGGGCAGCATTGAGAAAGGCAAGGCAGGCTGGTTAGCGAGGCCGTGGCGATGGCGGAGAAGCGTGTCTCCCGTTGGTACTTCGGGGGCCTGGCCTCCTGCGGGGCGGCCTCCTGCACCCACCCGCTGGACCTCCTCAAGGTGGGTCCGGGAAGAAGCGAGGGAGGGAAGGAAGGAGGGCACCCGCCTCCATTTTAGGCATGGAGCTGGCTTGCTGGGCATAACCCCACTGCCCACTCTCCCTTTCAGCAGGGTGGCCAGGCACGTCGTCCTCCTCCTCCTCCTCCTCCTCCATTTAAGCCTTCCGTCTCCCAAAATGGGACGTACTAAAACGGGTAGGCAACCTTTCCCCTTTAAGGGCCGAGGGACTTCATCTCCCAGAATCCCAGGAGCTATTGGCCAACATGGGACTATTGGCCAACATGGCTGAGGCTTCTGGGAGCTGAAGTCCCTCGGCCCTTAAAGGGGAAAGGTTGCCTACCCCTGTACTAAAACAAAAGGACAGTACTTGCCCATAGGGGAAACCCATCCTTGCCCATAAGGATACATAGGAGAATACTTGCCCCATAGAGAAACATAGGCAAGTATATGGTTTCTCTCTATGGGCATGTATGGGGTTTTTTCCCCTCCCCTCCATAGGGAGCTCTGCATTCCCAACCCTTAACAATAAAATCCTATGGGCAAGTATGTACAGAGATCTTGCAGCACCTTTGAGGCTCACTGAAAGAAAGAAGTTGGCAGCATCAGCTTTCCTAGACTAAAATCTCCTTCCTCAGAAGCATTCAGGCTGAAGTCTAGGAAAGCTCCTGCTGCCAAATTTTTTTCGTTCAGTGAGTCTCAAAGGTGCTGCAAGGTCTCTATATACTTCCTCAGATGCATATGGTCTACTGCCTCCTCAGATGCATCTGAGGGAGTAGACTGAAGTCTAGGAAAGCTCCTGCTGCCAGCTTCTTTCTTTCAGTGAGTCTCAAAGGGGCTGCAAGATCTCTTTCCTTACGGATTCTACAGACTAATATGGCCGTATCTTTGAATCTTGTGGGTAAGTATTCTCCAACGTTTCCCTGTGAGCCAGTATGGCTTCTCTGTGGGTAAGTGTACTGTCATTTGTTTTAATACGTCCCTTCACGTCCCTTCCAAAATGTTCTCTGTTTTGAGCATGACCAAGGCTGCATCCGCACCGCAGAAATAATCAGGTTTGACACCACTTTAACTGCCCTGGCTCCATGATGTGGAATTCTGGGAACGGTCATTGGTTGTGACACCAGAGCAAGATGGGCCTAAGTCGTCTCTTCTCCCTCAAAAGCAGCATAAGACCCAGACCCTGTCCTAAAATACAGAAGCAGAAAAAGAAAGTGAAAGGAGAAAAAGAAAGCAGAAGAAACAACCAGCTACCATTCCCAGAATTCCATAGCATGAAGACATGCCTGTTCAAGTAGTGTCAACCCAGTTTCGCTCTGCAGTGCAGATGCAGCCCCAACTAAGCCTCCAAGGCAGGTCTTTCCCAGGGTGACCAGATCTCCTCACTGCAAAGGAGGGCAAGGCACTACAGAATATGGGACATTCAAGAAAAATGGAGGACATGACCAAATAAAAGCTTAAAGCACTCATATAAAGATAAATTCATTATTTTAGTCCTACTAAAAATGGAGGACTTTTTGGAATTTCTCCTGGACAGAAGGTTGAAATGGAGGACTTGTCCTGGGGGAGGAGGACCTCTGGTCACCCTGTCCTTAAAAGTTAGGGGCAGCAGCTAGCAGGGTGACCTGCTGTCCTAACTGCAAAGGAGGACCAAGCACTGCAGAATGTGGGACATTCAAGGAAAATGGAGGATATTACAGAATAAAAGCTAGAAACACTCCTAGAAATGTAAATTCATGCTTCTTAGTCATGCTAAAAGTGGAGGACATTTTGGAATTCCTCCTGGACAGGAGGTTGAAATGTAGGCTGTGTCCTGGAAAAAGAGGATGTCTGGTTGCCCTGGTCTTCCCAGGCTCTTCACCCCCACTCTTAGTGGGGCAGCCTGAGGAAAGTTGTTGGAAGTCAGGAAAAGGATTCACACACACACACACAGAGCTGGTGTGATGAGTGCTGTGATTGCAACAGGGTATAAGCAGAAGCTTCTTTCTACTGGCACACACTCATCCTCCCTTCTTCCTATAGCAGCTCTGATCTCTAGCTGCCATTTTTGCTTTGTACATAGTGATAAATGCCTACCCGGTTGCCTGGGCAGGAGATGTTGGTCCCGGTTGGTATTCTCTTCCTGGCAACCCCTAGTGTCTGGTTTCCTAGGAATAACAGGCTGGCATCTGATGGTGTGCCCTGCAGTGGCAACCCTCTGGCCTGGAGGGTTTGGCCACCTTCCAGGAGGCTGTCCTGAGTAACTAGCAGAGGCTGGCTGGCAGGAGTCTTCTAGTTTCTTTCAGAGCCGTCGGGGTATGATTTGGGCAGGAGCAGAGTGACTATGGGCCTAAGCAGACTGCCAGAAATAGTGCACATTAAATTGAGGCACTGCCCTGGCTCAGTGCTAGGGAATCATGGGAACTGTATTTTATTGTGGCACCAGAACTCTCTGACAGAGAAGGCTCAATGTCTCAGAAAAAAATACAATTCCCATGACTCCCTAGCACTGAGCCAGGACAGTGCCTCAATTTAATGTGCACTATTTCTGGCAGTCTGCTTAGGCCTTAAGTCAAAAGCTCCTGTTACAATCATAAGAGTTGGAAGAGACCATAAGGGCTTTCCAATCCAACCTCCTGCTATGTAGGAACTCACAGTCAAAGCTCCCCCAACATTTGGCAATCCATCCACTGCTTTAAAACTTTCAAAGGAGGAGACTCCATCACACTCCGAGTGAGTTAAATCAATTAAAGTCTGAACGTCTAGAACAGAGATGAGAAACCTTTTGCCCTCCTGATGTTTTGGATTTAAGTTCCCAGAAGCCAAACAGCATGGCGAATGATGGGGTTATGGGAAGTGTAGTCTAAAACATCTGAACAGCTGAAGGTTTTGTTAAATTCAAATGATAGGAGGATTTGTGTTTAAGTGGATGACATCCAGTGTGGTGCAGTGATTTGAAGATTGGACTGTGACTCTGGAGAACAGCATTTGAACTCTGTTCAGCAGTGAAACCACTGGGTGACCTTGGACAAGTCACACCCTTTCAGTCTCAGAGGATTGCAAGGGCAAAACCCCTTTGGAGAAACTTGCCAAGACGAAAACCCTGTGATAGGGTCATTAGTTTAGTGGCTTAGGGTCACCGTAAGTCCAAAATGACTTGAAGGCACACAAGAATAACAGGCAGACATCCAGCTGTGCTGTTGCTAAGCTGGGACTCCTGAAATCAGAAGCCTAAGGAACAGTGGTAGCGTGTTTCCTGAGATGAATGGACTTTCCAGTACAAAACAGACCTATTTAGTTATAACTTGGTTCTTCTCTCTCAAAAGTGGCATAAGATCTAGTCCTAAAGAACAGAAGTAGGGAAAGAAAGTGGCCTGGCTAAGGTCAGTAGGACAAAATCATGAAGACACTTTCTGAAGAGTGTCTGGTATACAACTCTAACTGATATATGTATCTTTCCAGATTCCACAGAAAGAAGGAACTGGTCCTGATAAATTATCTTATTTTGTGTTTAGTACCCTGATACCTTCTTGGCTTTGTTTTTAGTGTCCTTCTTGGCTTTGTTTTTAAGGCTCTACAGTAGGGCTTCCTCAAACAGATGAGGGCAATGCTCTGCTTCTGTTATTTACCTTTGGCAGGTAAATTAAAAGTGGGGGGGGGGGAGATCAAGAATCAGAGTTGGACAACATGTTT